CTAGGAGAACGAGCACATCTGGTGGCTGCCTTTCTTTGACTCTCACTCCATTTTTTTCTGGACCCGTTTCACTGTTCGTCTTTCATCTCCTCTCTCCTTTTCAACTGACACTCACTTCTCCGTTCACTCCGAACTGCCCCCCTCCCCCTCCCATTTCCTCTCCTCCCTGTTGCAGAGTGTGGCTGTCATCCCTCTATTGTGGCAGGTGAGGCCATAAAAACAGCAGGAGAGAGCAGAGGAGGGCTGAGAGGCAAGGTGGGCGAGTACTTGTGGGTGATTAATTATCGCAAAGATATCCGAGGAGCTCCTGAGCAAATTGTGCTCCCATTCATCCACAGCCAGTCATTAATCTAGGCTCTGTTGTTACATGTGTTGGTGTGTTAAACAGCAACACTGCCGACCTCTGACCCGAGCGGTGTCTACTGCGTGCACTCTCCTTCACACACATAATTCATCGTGTTGCCTTCAAGTCCAACAGTGTCTGTTTGTCTCTCAGCACCTCTTTCACAAATGAAGTGTATGTAATTTTCTGTGATTTATAGCGGACAAGCGATATTTGAATGTGCAAGGTCTGTGTGCCTCCTAACCACAAATATTTTCAGCTCTTTTCTTCACACTTTCCTCTCCTAGTTGTATCGATTTTAGATAAATGATGCATATGCCATGAATCTGTTTAACACCTCGGAAGCTCTGCACCGCAGTAAGAAAAACAACCGTTTAAACAAAACAATATCAACAAGCTTACAAATTAAAATTAATGGTCTTTTTCTAACTAACTACATTTATTAGATCAGATTATTTCATATAGATAAAGCAGAAATAAACATGTTAAAGCAAGTTGTAGCAAATGCCAATTATTTGATAGTGACAGTGAAGGCATCTTCTATGATGGCCTCTTAATCATAATATCATGTCATCAATCAACTTTGTTAAAGCACCAGTACATTAATTTATCCATAAACATAACTATTTCATCAATATAATGTGCCTCAAAATAAGTTTTATTGAATCTGTTTATAAAAACAAGCAGATGCTAAACAATAATATCATTTTATGGTAAGTTTGTGAGGCGCTGGCGCTTATGTTCAGTGAATAATGGGCAACAGTAGGGGTAAACCCTAGACCACATGTGTGAAACTCAAGGCCCCTGGGCCAAATCTGGTCCATTTTAACATCTGGCCCTCCAAGATGATATTTTAAATGTAAAATGTTTTTATTGCATCTCATTTGGCTTGAAAAAACAAAATATACTCAAATACTTCATTTAATGCAGACTTCTCATGAGCACTGGCTAACTTAGAGGCCAGGAAAAAGGTTGTATTTTTAATCTTTAATTTTGATGTAGAAAGAACAACAGAGAACGTCAAATGAGACTGATCAAACTCTTGCTGATGAAACTGCAACCAAGAAACTGCAAACGTTGCCAGGTATTGACTGGAAATGACCTGTGACTTGGACCAATTATTTTTTTATTTTGGCCCCCTTAAGTTTGATACCCCTGCCCTAGACAGTTCACTATTCCATGAAAGCACCACATTGGGTGTCCAAAGTGCGGCCCGAGGGCCATTTGCGGCCCTTGCAGTGATTTTGTGCATCCCACTCCTGTAGTTTAAGAATAGTATAATTTTGGCCAGCAAAAGAGGTTAATGCAGACTTTCAGGAAATTTATTAACAATGCTTTTTAATATAATGTTTAAATTTAACAGCAAAGCGGATTAAAAGCAATCTTCTCAAAATGAGCAATATTAAGCAAAATACAAACCTTTGGCTATAATGTTTTTATTTTCACTTAACAGTACAATCACCCAAAACCTTTACTGATTTCTACCAGAAAGAAAATTTTGGGGACAATGATTCATAAAACTTGACTAAATATTGCAGTTGATAAAATAATCCAGAGGGAAACTGGACATTTTTAAATGAATATAATGTGGTATCATCTACACACGAGCTGATCAACTTTATCAAATCTATGAATCTGTTGTAGCGACTGACAGCTGGACGATTTTTCAGAACTTCGATCAGACTTTTGGGCCGTCCATGGTCCAAAAGGCTCATCGACACCATTTTAAAAGGACACTTACTATATTATACTTTTGTTGTTGAGAACAGACTAAAATGAATTTTCCAAACACATTAAAACTACAAACATAGACCCAACAAATCAAATAAATTAAATCATTTTTTATAAAAAATATAAACTTAGTGTTTATGAGGCTTTTAATGTTTAGGATCTACAACAATTTACAACTCATTATCCACCAAAATTAGTCAACTTTTGTCCTTTCTCCAAAATATCATTTACATTGAGAGATAAATTCACATTTTTGTGGCCCACGAGTCCTTTTCATCTCGATAGTTTTGGCCCACACATGAAAACGTTTGGATACCCCTGACATAGAGAAAGATGAGAGAGATTCAACTTGAGAACTGAATTGAATAGATTTAAAGTTGCCAATTAACTTTGCATGTATGTTTTTGGACTGTGGGAAGAAAACGGAGCAGCTGGAGTACACATGCGCAGGGACAAGCAAACTTCACACAGAAAGGCCCCAGCTAAGATTCAAACCAGTGAACTTTTTGCTATGAGGCAACATCACTACCAATAGAGAATCTTGGGCCTATCAAATATACTAATAAATCAGAGAAACTTATAGTTTTAATCTTCAGAATGTAATTAATGTTGCACAGCTGTCTTGAACTTTTGTCCGTCTATTTATTAGACTAAACCATTGTGAGGGGTGGACGATGGTGTCTTAATTTTCACAACTGTAAAAAACTTTTGTGCATTCATAATAAGTACAAATATGTTATCTTACAGTCACCCCTGTGATAACAGTAATTACCCTCAGGGGATGAGTGAAGCATTCATCCATTCGTTCTTTGTGAAAAAGCAAATTGCAAAATAAATCTGAGACCGATGTGTCTCGTTCTCAGAGGGGAAACTTTGGGTGTAGCTTCTTTTATTTCAGATGTAAATTATTTGATAAAAACGGCTGAACTGCAAGCATTCCTTCACACAATGACTTTCTTGTTTTGCTACTCAGAATGTGGAAAAAAAAATCAGATGTGGTTTTATTGGCCTTAGTTTGATAAAACTAAGTTTTTTTGTTATCCTGAGATAATTCATGGGATATGACAAGTCTTGCTCCCCTGCATGTGTTGTCTAATCTTCTGACATCTGGAAGAAGCTATTGTTCCAGTGAAGCAAGAACAACCAGAACAGGTTCATTCCTCAAACAACAGGGCTGCTATAATCCCTCCAGCTTTCATCCGAACAGAATAAACACAGATTTGTTTTAATGTCTTTGTTCTTGGGCCTGTTTCAATCCACTTGTGCTTGGTGAAATTGTTAATTAGCCAGTTTCGTCCAACAGTGGCCTTTGCGTTTGCGCAAATATGAAGTTTTTATGCCACTTTAAAATGTTCCATTTTTTGGAATCGCTGGGATGGAACAGATTGGAGAGATGATTGAAGCCAGGCGCAGCGGGAAGCTGAAGGAGACAGACAGGCAGAGTAAAACGAGGAGTGTGGGGGAGAAGGTTGAGGGTGAAACCGCAGTTTTTATACGTTGTCTGGTTTTAATTTGGTAAGAGCCATCATTCTCTAGATCACCGAGGTGGCAAACCAGATGAGTGTGCGCTCTTGGAGTGTGCGTTTCATTTTTTGAGTTCTTCTGGCCTCGACGATGAAATCTGTTGCTGGAAATCACATAACGACCTGACACTGTATTTGTTCTTGTAATGGACTTTTTCTTCTCCGTTTCTTCACCCCTCTGCTGTTTTAATGGAATAACTTTAGACACATTTGTTAAGGCGTTAATAAAAAATGTGCAATTTACCCACTTTGCTATTTGGAAATACATTATTCAAAGTGGGATTCCATCCAGCCATTATTTTTACCTGCGTCATCCTTTCCGAGTTACAGGGATCACTGGTGCCCATATCCAGCAGTCACTGTGCGAGAGGCAGGGTACACCCTGGACTAGAGTTGCATTCGGGGCCAAAAATCTGACCCGACCAGGCCCCAGCCCGTAGCCATCATTTCCAAACCTGCCCAACAAATTAACAGTAATTACAGGTGCGATCCCGAACCCCCCCCCCAACATTTTTAATTAAGCTTTGACTGCTTATAGTTATTAACGGTCGGCTGACGCTCACGGCTGAAAGGGCAGAAGTTCGGAGCTGAGGTTGTGTTTGTCCTTTCATGGCCGTCAAAGTGCATTAAATCCCTGCTTCTTCCTGCATTCTGCATTATTCAGACATGGACCCTGCTCTGACATGTCTGCAAGGATATTTTGGGATCTCACCTGTTTGGGTCGTCGGCCGCGCATGTCTGCTGACTGCAGCGGTTGAACGTCCATGTGGGCTTTGATGGATTACTGCCTGGCAGTTCAGTCCCATCTGAAGCTTAACTGAACATTTTTTTAACTCTTTCAAGGCCAGTCAGCACGCAGTCAAAAGGCTGTGTGCAGCTGGTGAATGTATGGCAAGCCATGTTGCCAAATAATTGGATCGTCAGCTGCGCGCGTCTGCTGACGCAGTCAAAAGCTCGACACCGACCCGGCCCACCCATCCAGCACATTATATTATAGCCCGGCCCAAATTAGGGTAGGGCTGGGTCGGGCTTTGGGCCCGGGTTAGAAATGACGTCTACCCTGGACAGGTCTCCAGTCCATCAACGGGACACATAAAGACAAATGAGACAAACAACCATTCACTCTCTCACTCACACCTAGAGACAATTTAGAGTTACCAATCAGCCTAACATGCATGTTTTTGATCTGTGGGAGCAAACCGGAGTACCCGGAAAAAGACCCACGAATGGATGAAGAGAACATGCAAACTCCACTCAGAAAGGTCCCCAGCCGGGATTTGATCTAGCAACCTTCTCGCTGTGAGGCAACAGCTCTACAAACTGTGCCACCGTGCTGCCCAAAGTGGGATTAAACTTTAAAATACTCATTGTATGATTTTACTGAACTGTTTGTTTGTGTGCAGTGTCTTCAGCCATGCAAAGAACTCTGGGAAACCAAGAAGATGCTCTCTGCAAAGTCATGTGAGGTAACATGAATGTATGTGTGTGTTTCTGACAGTCATTGCAACCTTGGTGGCATTATCACTGCTGCACCCCCCCCCCCCCACACACACACACACACATAAAAACATGCTTTTGTTGGCATCACAAAGATGTTTTTACTGTAGGTTCCTCCACACAAGCCTGTATATGTGTCACAAATAACAGAGCTTTTCTGTGTATAAACACGATGGTGTTTTGTGTATTCTGTATGTGTGTGTGTGTGGCCCCAAATGGTTATTTGTAGAGCCAGTTGCTGCGGTTTTCAGATAGATTACTTTTTCATCACAATAGCTGAAGCATGTTACTGTCTGGATGGTTGACTGGCTGCCTGGTTAGGACCACAGGGTAATTCGGAGCTATTAGCTAAAGCTTGTGTTTACATCTCGCTGAACTGCAGCCATGTGAGCAGGCACACAAATACTCACACAGATACACACACACACAACGCCTTTTAGATGAACTCTCAAGGGTCGATTTCAAGCACTCAGTTGAAGTTTACCAAAGGAAAGGAGACACTTTCACCTCTCCTGCTTGCTTTGATACCCTTCTGTGTGTGTTCTTAAATATTGATATTGTTATAAAAAGAAAAATAATAATTGTAGTGCCCCCTGCGTTCTTTTGCTTTCCCAGAAGCAGACGGAGTGTGTAACAAGCAGAGACTTCCTGGCCTCTCTGAGGTCATCTCGTCAGGGAGACTGCCCTCCGCCTCAACGAGCTACGGGATTCGCCGCCGCCTGTGTGGAGAGCTGCTCATTAGACCAGGACTGTCCATCCTCCAGAAAGTGCTGCTTTAATGGCTGCGGATACACTTGTCAAGCTCCAGCCAATTTATATAAAGGTAAACCCGCGCAGCTGCTTTCAGGTATCTTGGCTGATTGAGAGAAGATGTCGATTACGATTACTTCTGATTCCTGTAACACAAGTGTTCTGTCAGGTGATATGCTAACACCAGATGCTGATGGTTCTCATTGAAATAAAATAAAAAAGTAAAAAACACGGAAAATAGTTTATCATTTTGGGAAACGTTCGCTAATACTCATCCTGACATCTGGCTCTTGTGAAGATGGTGTTTAAACAAACTAATTGTGATTTGCTTTGATCGGATGTGTTTGGCAAATGATTTGAATTAAATTTAATGACAAAAAGCTTTTAGAAAACTCCCTGTTTGACTATATCTGAAATCCCAAACGGTCCCTTTGAGGTTGAATTGCCTAAGATGTGGTTAGGATTTGGCTGCTGCAGTAAATCTACACAAACTCAACCCTGACAGACATTTCTATTTTTATTTAGCAGTTTTCTCTTTTTGACTGTATTGATGATGTAATGTAGCTCAAGATATTAACAGGAAAGTAGCGTAGAATTGGGGAATAAGAAAGATTGGTCACAGTTTTGTTATGGTGTCATGTTTCATCAATTGCTCAGAAGAGACAAGATTTTATGCATTTTTTTATACTTTTCTGAGGCCACAATAGCAAAGAGGACAACAGTGTGATGATGGTGTGCATTTATTACCTTTACTAATTTCTTTTTAAAATGTACAGTAGTCCCTCGCTACTTCGCAGTTCGTTTGTCGCGGACTCGCTCTGTCGCGGCCTTTCAAAATAAGATTGGCACGATTGGCAAGGATTTTTTTATTTAAAATGAATTGTTTTAAACTATTTAGCACCTGCTGCACCTTTGTGCAGCCCATGCTGCAGGATAAACTTCCTGCTGTAGCTAATCAGCTGTTCACCATGCAGAGCGGAGAAGTGGGCGTGGCCAAGAGCACTTGCAGGTGGCAAAGAGCAGAGGAGGCAGCGAGCTGAAATCATGACATTCTGTGCTCTTAGAGTGTTTAGAGTTTAACATTGTTTAGGATATTGCAAGAGTGTGGGAAGGGTTTAAAATGCCAAAGTTTTATGTTGCATCAGCAAAACTTTTAATTCCTTCTATTCATGGGTTTTGTTTCACATTAAAACATATCCAGGTGTGTTTTATTTAAATGTCTTTTCACTTTTTGCTCTCGCAGGTGTTCCTCTGAAGCCTCGCAGAGAGCTCAACTTTGTGGAGGACTCAGAGGGGCGTGTGAAGGTGGCGTGGGTGTCAAAGTTCAATGTCAGCATGGAGCCTGTCATTTACATGCTCCAGTCCCGCTGGAACATTGGCATTCACCCCAGTGAAGACCAAGCCTCTCCGTGGGCCACGGTTGCTATGGTGAATAACTACTATAACAGCCTGTCAGCACAGCTTTATTAAAGTTTTTAGATGTTGAAATCACTCAGGTTCAGGAAGAGCTGAGGAGTAATTTGAAGATTAATGTTTCTGTCAAAGAAATACATCTGTTCAGTAATAAATTACCCCTTATTACCAAGTGTTATTGAAAGGATGCTCAGTAATATAAATAAGCTGACTGTCAGAAATAAATGGGATTTGTTCCATTAAATCGAGTCATTGAAGCCATAAAAATGGTTACCCGTGTCTTTAACAGTGGTGCAACGCCACAACATTTATAGCATATTTTTACCTCATAACTCTCAATCTGGAACGATGAAACATCTCAGCCATGGAGATGGATGCTAGACTGTTTCCACCTCATCAGTCTGCTGCCTCGCTGTCTAAACCTCTCCACCTCAGCTGGGCTCACACTCTGCCAGGGTAAACCCATATGTGTGCATGTGCACTGTGTATCTTTGTGTGTGTGCCTGTGTGAGGTTAGGTAAATAAGCAGAGCTTAAAACAGAACCACAGGCAGCCATAGTCGTTCCACCGGCTGGGTCTGAACGACTGAACGCTCATTATTGACTTAAATAGATGACAGCGCGTGTTGGCGTGTGTGTGATTGAGTGTGGATGAGCAGCTTTTAGGCAGTGATTACGTTCGCTCTGTCAGTGGGAGAAAACATGGGCCTGTGGCAATTCCACCCATAATTTGTGCAGATCTTTTAGTTTTACTGTTCATAGATGGGATTCCACACTAACTCCGTTCATTTGATTTTTTGTTCGGTGTATAATTGTTAGCTGCCGGTCTGTTAGATCCACCAAGACCAAATATGCACAAAGCAGCATCCTTTTAGTAATTTTTTCCTTCATGATCCACATTATGTTCTTAGTTTAAATAGTTTTTAGTGAACTGTTGATCAGGGTGACATCGCTGTCAAATCCAGATGTATTTACAGGTGAGCGCAAAAAAAAAGCAAAGCACAGAGATCCCTCACACCTCAAGTTATGATTTATGTCCCGAACTTGGGGTCGGGACCCAATGTGGGTCAGGTGACATCAAGTACGAGTCCCTAAACAATCTTCACATGTCAACTTACACGACAAAATGATTGTTTAGGAAAGTGTTTTTCAAAGTGGGGGCCGCGGCCCCCTAGGGGGCCACCAGGGGGCCCCTAACGGCTGGAGCGAAGAAGATAAAAAAAAAAAGCAAAAATAGTAATAATAATACTAAAAATTGCCCACTGCAATTTATATCTGTCATTTCCAGATTAACACGCTTGAGAGAGAGATTAGATTTCTTTTGTTTTGTTCTTCTGGCCAACAGTTTGTTGAAAAGTTTTTTTTTTTCCCAGCGGGAATATAATACAGTGTTTAAAACATGTTAGTTAATAAAATGTTATGCTCAGCAGCTGTAATAATTAATTGAATATAGTGAATAAAAGTTAAAACATTCTAAAAGTTGATGTTTCTTTACATACTTTGTAGCATTGTTTGTGGATTTTTTGAGGGGGGCCTTGGCCAGAAGCTAATGCTGTTTGGGGGGGGGGGGGGGGGGGGCATGGAAAAGTTTGTGAACCCCTGGTTTAGAGCATATTGTAGTTGCTGTGAAAATAAAAACAGCAGTCATGAATTAATAAAAAAGGTTCTGTAGATATTAACACCATTTGTGTTGTCAAGGCTTGGCTTATTAGGATTATTAGTCATTTTTGCACAATTAATCTTGCAATAAATGACATCACAAGATTATTGTACTTCTCATTTTGTGAATTGAAATCCACTAACTTATACAATGTTGTAACAGTTGTGATATTTGTGCTGGTGTTTAACACCTCAGTGCTGCACCAAAAACAGTTATTGTAATGTGATTTGTTCGTAGACCCTGTCTGAGGATGTGCTTCTGTCTGATCTGCGGCCTCAGCGTTGGTACCAGTTCAGGGTAGCGGCCATTAACAGTCATGGCAGCAGAGGTTTCACCACACCCAGCAAACACTACATCTCCAGTAAAGGTAACAAAAATACCCAGTGTGTCGATTCCTCCTGAGTGTTTTCATAAGCTACCGATGGATTTTGATATCTCATCATGAGACACAGCAAAATACAGACACTTGGGTTCATTTTCTGTCTTTATAAGGGATAATACACCTCCCCTTGGACCTGTGAGTAAATCAGAAACACTTTCCTTCCTCTTTCCGTCTGTCTGCATTCCCTTCTTTTCACTCACAGTTGATGGATAAGGTACACTCCGTAAAATACCATCAGGAAGTCCATAAAATATAGGACACGGAATACGTATTTATACACACTGCATTTAGATGGATTAGAGCCAAAGTGAAATCCCTGGTTTGGGTCAGAGAGACAGGGTGAAAGTGAGATTAAGGTATAAGGTTGTTTCTCTCTCTCTCACACACACACACACACACACAGACACACACACACCGTAGGAGGTCACTGATCTAATGCTCAGCAGACTGAAGTCATACGGGTGTCAAGCCAGGATTGGCTCATGATATGAATCTTCTGCCAGGATTGGATAAAGCATGTTTGAGTGTGGATAGTGACTTAAGGTTGGACTGTGTTTTGAGGAAAAATGTTTATTTTATTTATTTCTATCATTTGAACACTGATAGTGATTATGTGGAGGCAATCTGAGATAGCACCGAGGGGAATTTTCCTCTTTTCAGCTCATCTTTGGACCAAACTCTGTAGCCAATGAAGGAGCAACTTCGCTCTTCCAGAGGTTTAGACCAAGATCATCCTATGTTGAGGAATGTAGAGTCGCAGCCATTTTTGTCAATCCTAAAAAATAATTTATTGTAAATAACTCTCAGCAGTTTATTAAGAAATTGCAAAGGTAGCTGAGAGATATTTATACCTTGTGTTTTGAAGGTGTCTTATTAGCTCAGCTATTAGTGGATTTTATGCCAGTTTCTATAAAACTAACTGAGTTATATCCATTTTTGTGTTTACAAAGTTCAGTTCACTGTGGCGACCATCGTGAATCAGGTTGACTCCAAAAGTTAATAAGTTGTAGATGTTCTCCAGTGATTACTTTCTGCAGGTTTCATTAAAATCCATTCAGTTGTTTATGAGATAAATTGGTAACAGATAAACACACGCAGGCATCGGCCAAAACATTATAGTCCAACTTGGGTGCAAGTGATAAAGAAGCAAACGCACTAAAAGGATACAAGTCAGCCTTTTTGATTCAGTTGGTTGTTCTCCAAATGGTTAAAACGACCCTCAAGGCCTCCGTTTTAAAACTGAGGTCAATTTGCTTCAGTGGTAGCAGGAGGGTTAAATTTGTGAGGCCATCTTTTCCATGAGTTCTAATACTTTTACACACAGTAGGCTTTACAGAAGTATAATTTCATCTTAAGGCTAAGTTATTGTACATTTTAGTCTATATTATGTGTATATTCTGAGGGGAAAGGTTAAAGGTTAAATACACAATTAAACATTCCAAATACAACCTAAAAGCAGCCCTTCTTGTGTTTCAAGTTCATTTGTCTGATTAGCCAGGGGCTGGGGGTCAGGGGTCATAAATCAGGAAGCCAGCAGATGCCAAGATTGTTGTAGTTCCTCCGCTGTGACCTGAAGCTAGGCAGAGTGAGAATCTGAAAAGTGTGTTACGCAAAACCTGCCAGCAGTAATTACATCAGAATGTCTGGATCAGAAAACTCGTCTCGATGTTTTCATTTTGCAAAACAATAGATAAAGAAAATCAATCGTGTTGAGAAATACAGTTCTGGCACCGAGACACACTTCTTATTACAGAAAACACCACACATACACACGTTCACACACACGAACAGGCCAATATCTGTCAGCTCCCAAAATGTTGCGCTAACTTTGATCTCGGCATCTGGGTCAGGCGAGCTCAGCCCCCGGGTCCGTGGGAGGCCTGCCATGGGGATGCAGTCCTAATCAGATACATTTTGTAGTTTTAATCAAATACAGCATCAGGGCTTTAAGGTCTAATGAGATACAGAGTCAGCGTTAAAAGACTGTTGACCTGAGGATTTCATTTTGGAGGCAAACGGAGTTTAGCGAAGGTAGATCTTGTTCTTTTATATTGACGCTACTGAAAAAAGATTCAGGCTTCTCCAGCTTACCTCTGCTTTGATGCTATATATCCAATTGACTTTGTTGACCTTAATAAGGCCAAGATGAAATTAGCCGTCTCCTTTGAGAATAGCTTGCAGTGCATTAACTACTGAGTTGTTAGAAAAGCTGGATCTAAGGTCTGCTCTTTGTGGAGAAAAAAACAAATTCAATTTAATTCCTCTGTTTTACCAGTTTGTTCCTGTTCAGGGTTGCAGGGAGCTGGTGTCTGTCTCCAGGAGCTAATGAGTGAGAAGAGGAGTAGAGATAAACAAGACAACATTCACTCTCACAATTGGGGATACAGTATATTGTATTAGAGGAGACAGTTATCCTAACATGCATGCTTTTAGACAGAGAGGAAACAAGAGTACCGGTGCCTGGAGAAAAGGCAAGCATCCATGGGGAGAACATGCAAACTCCACACAGAAAGACCCCAAACTGGGAGTCAAATCAGTGACCTTCTCACTGTGAGGCGGCAGTGCTAAACAACCGCCTCTACTTTACAGACATAATCATTATAAACTATAAAAAGTTTTAAACTGAAATCAACATTTTGACCAAGGTTATATTGTATGGTTTAAGGCAGGGGTCTGCAACCTGCGGCTCCTTGAAGCTTCGACCCAACATGATGCAAAATGTAAACTCTTTGGTTTTTATACCCACGGTAAAGAGAAATGACAAGTTTTAGCTGATTTTCTGCAAATGTTTAAATGGAATTACTAAAACTAGGAGAAAATAATGTTGATCAGCTTTAACTACTTCATTTATTCAACTTCCGGCCTTACAGTTGGATCTTTCTCTCAAATCCACCAGAAATCTTTGGAAGACCTTTAGGACAATTGCCCAGAGAAATATGGTGAATAATAAATAAATAAATTAATTAATTAGTTAATTGATAGACAGATAGGTGGGTGGGTGGGTGGATTGATTGATTGATCAAATTAAAGTTAATGTAAATAAAAAATTGTTTAAAAATATATATAAAGTCACAATTACATAACCGACACAATGGCCTAATGTTTAGACACAATAAATTCATGCTTTATTACTTTAAAGTTGGATACATAATTATTTTTATTTTTATAAAATTAAAAGAAAGACTCACATAAACCTGCAGAGTTCAGGGTTAATATTTTTGGAGTAAAATTGGTATGAAATATATATTTATCCCCTTGTTTACATTAATGTGGTCTTTTCTTTAGCCCTAAAATGTAAAATTATTAAAAAATGTTAAAATCCCCCTCCCCCACAATACAAATTTGAAGTGGCCCATGAGTCACCAGTTGATAATGATTGTTGTAGCAGATTTTGCAGCTCTAGACACATTTTGTTTAGTAAATGAAGGGTAGAAATGGCTTTTTTGATTTAAAAGGTTGCAGACCCCTGGTTCAAGGTCTTGTCCTTACAAAATCCCAACTTTTCTCCCCAAAATATATATATTTTGACATTTCCATAAATATCCTCGTATATGGTTTTGTTTCTAAAAATGTATTCATCTTCATGGAAACACCAAAACCAACCCAAAACACTGTTGTTAATATTCCAGGCCCGTGTGGCACGCTGTAATGCCAGTTTAAAACAAGAACAGGAAACAGGGCATGGAACAGGCACATCACTTTTACATACTTGTTATAAAATGGAAACACAAGAAAAGGAGGAAGCCCTCTGATTGTAGATGAGAAGAGGGACTTTCATTTTCACATGGTTGTACTGTGACTATCTACACAAAAACAAAGGGTGGTGTTTTTACATTACCACCCCTCACCCCTAGCCCCCAGAACCCAGTTTAAAAAAATTAAATGTTATGGGTTTTCCCTAAAACACAGTTTCTGTGTGGATGCAATGCTAAAACACTAAACACTAAAAAAAACTTGTTTGTATTCACAAAAACCTTCCCATGTGAACAGTTGCTTAGATTTTTTAAATTTAACACAGTGTAGAAAAATAAAAGCACTTATTGCTTATGAAATCGATGACCTTTGCCAAACTATATAGAAAAACTTAATTTTGTGGCTTAGCTCACAGCAAAAATGTTGCTATTATACGCAAACTGGTTTTTGATGGAGAATAAAAAAATGTCCAGATGACTTAACTGAAAAATGTTGGATTTTATACCTGGATTATTGAGCATGGACTTTGTTGTTATAAAAAAAGTACAGTTTATTCAATTTTTGTTCCATGATATTTACTTTTATGTGAAAATAAAACCAGGCATCACAAATAATATGTTTATAAATCTGTAAAATAGCATTCCCCAGAAAATTAATTCATTTTTTGACTTTTCTTCTTATGACTAATTCCAAAACTTGACCCAAAAGTGTTAATTGTTTGACTCACCACATCTGTAGCATTATAAGTACAAAATAAACATTTTATAACCATTTTTCATTCCTAATAATAACCAGGTCAGCGCTGATGAGAATTGCTTAAGAAGGTGATGAAACTGTTTTTCACGTTTTCATCATTCTCTTTCTGCTTCGTCATGTAGACCCATCACCTCCAGAACCTCCAACAAATATGAGAGTGAGCAATCAAACTCTAGAATGGGCGAGTTCAACACCTGAGTCCACAGAAAGGTATATGAACATTTTCATTCATACTGCTGCAGTGCTCCCATTCACCATGAAAGGCTGCCAGATCACAGTGAGGTGAATGAATAGCTCTTGTATCTGCCTGCAAATTATAGTTCATCCTTGCGTTCAAGTATATACTGCAAGTATATACCTGGATGACTGAGAAAACAAACTTTGTGTTTTTGAAACCA